CATCCTGCCCCCCAGCCGGCACTGTCCACGGCACTGAACATTTTGGAGAAGTATGGGCGCAACCTGCTGGCCGGGCAGCGGCCCCGCTTCTGGCGCAATGTCAAGTTCAACAATCCCGTTTTCCGCTCCGCTGTCGACGCCATCCAGGTGGGATCCCTTGAGCCCCTCAAGGCACCCTGGAAACCTCCAGGAAACTCTCAAGCACCTCCCAGAAACCTACAACCCCCCCCCTGGGATTCCCAGACATCCAGGGAACTCCCCAGGACCTCCCAGCCCCATCCTCCAGGCCCCACATTGCCCCAGAACCTCCCCCCCAGCCCCTCCAGGAAACCCCTGGGATACCTCAGCCCCACCATGGATCAGCCTGGCCCCCCACCTCTGCCACCCCTCTGATTCCCTCCACATCTCAGTGCCCACTAGGAGCAAAGGACCTTGGACCCCTAAGCTACTGGGTGCCCCCTGCCGCATCAGGTCCCCCTGGAGGGGACAGGCCTCACCCTGCTAAGCCAGCAGGCGGCCTCCAGAGCCTGAGATCAGGGCTGGGCAGGATCAGGGCCAGGGGGCAGGAGAGTGAAATGGGGTGGGGGGGCAGGATTAGTGGGAGAGGGGCAGGACTGGGGCTCGTGGGGTAGAAAAGGGTCCATGGATGCCCTCAGGGATCAGGTAGGGGCCCATGGGTGATCCCCATCTCTGTGCGGCAGGGTGGGCGGGCCGTGCTGCGCCTCTATGGCTATACGGAGGAGCGGGAGGACGGGCTGAGCTTCCCTGATGAGGAGCTGGAGCCACAAGCTGCCCGCGTGGCTGCTGTGACTGCCGAGGTCCTGCTTCTGCGCACCGAGGTCAACCTGCTCCTGGCGGTGGGTTGGGGGCAAGGGGACAGGGCTGTGGCCTAGGGGGTGGGACTTGGTAGGTACAAGGGTGGGGAGTGGGGCTGTGGGGCAGGGGGCGTGGCTTGGTAGGAGCCCAAGGTAGGGGGCGCCAGGGAGCAGGGGGTGGGGCTTTGGGAGGCAAAAGATGGGGTCAGCTGGGAGTCAAGGGTAGGGGCTGTGGATTGGTGCAAGGTACAACGTTCGGGGTCAGCTGGGAGTCATTGGTAGGGGCTAGAGTGAAGCCGGGGTGGGGCTGCGGGGGCAGAAGGCAGGGTGGAAGTAACAGTCTGGAGGAGGGCCATGGGGCAGGGGTGGGATACATTGGGGGCTGGAGGGTGTGTGAAAGAGCTTGTGCAGAGGGGGATGGGATGTGTGGGGAGGCAAGGGTCCAGCCAGCCTCATTGTGTGTCTTGGGCTCCACAGAACAGCCACCCGTGCCCCAAGATCTTCCAGGATGTGTTGGACGGTGCTAAGGAGGTAAGGAGGGGCGGGGGGCACAGTGGGATGTGGGGGGACAGCATCG